TTTCGAACGATTTTAATAAATATTAATCGAGTAAATAAATTTTTATTTACTGCCAGTTTTTTCCGCCACTACTGTATTAGAATTATTAGAGGTAGTATTTACTTTAATCTTAATCTTTTGATGAATTTTTTTCTTATAGTATTTATTAACTTCCTTATTAAGCAACTTTTAAATATCTAAAATAGATATCCCTAACCTGTTCTTCAGATAGGAAATTATTTTTATGAGTTATAAGTCATAGCCATACATCTTTTTTCACAGATTGTTTTAATTGTTTGAGCACATCCTTATAGTGATTATAAAATTCTGGTTAGTCAAACATATATCTTATTATATTTTAGCGTCTTCAGCTAGGTAAATAAATTAATTTTGAAAAATTTCCAAAAAAAAAAATAATTCTAGAAAATCTATAGTGTTAGAGAAATCTGGAGAAGATTGGACATACTAAAAGTTTGCTAAGAGATTTTGCTAAAAGATTTTTGCTAAAAAATGCATAGCTAGCAAGATTTTAGTAATTTTTGAGGAAAGAAATCTAGAAAAGTTGCCAGAAAATTTACTATGCATTTTTTTACTCAAGTGTAAATGTATGTTTATAGTTACTGAACTTTTTTCAGATTTCAGATAAGCCAAATTTTACTCAAGTGTGATACCTGTTCACATTTACTGAAATTTTTTTCATGTTTTACAAATAGAAAAAATAAAATACAGTGCTATCCAAACTAAAAATTCTTCATAATGATCAGATGACACTAAGCCCTGAAGAAGCAGTGTTACTTGATCAAATTATATTTATTGGAAAAAAAATTGCTAAATAAATAAAAACACTTCTTAAGATATTTATTAATAAATATGACCTTTAATATTACATATTTCAGTTTTATAAACATATTGACATAAAATTGTATAAGTCGTTCAATATCAAAATTATAAAAACAAAATAAACATTGAAAACCTTCTTCATTATTTTCTTTTGTATCTTTAAATAATTCATGTGTTAAAGGATTTTTTAAATTAAATGCTATTAATAAACTTTTTGCAAGATTTCATAAAGATCTTTTCGTGACTTTACTTTTTGCTCTTCTTTAACTAAAATGTTATCTTCTACATATTATAATAATAGTATTGTAAAATGATTTCTTTCAGCTTGTATAGCTAAAATTTGTGTTTTTAAGTTTTCATAATCCATACGATTTCTACTAATATTTTGTTTTACAAATTTTACTTCAAACTAGAGGTTGGAACCAGTTTTGTTTTTACTAACTGGTTTTAATAACCTTCTGAAAATTGCAACCAGCTTTAATTCAGTTTTATTAAAACTGGTTTAAACTGATTAATCAGTTATATCGTATCGCAAAAAAAAAATAGTTAAAAAAAACTCTTGATTTCTATGCATAATTTTAACTTTATGCTTATATTTTATTTGTTTATCAAATTATTTATTTAACAAAGTATTTAATATTTATGTTTGAAAAATTTTTATCATTAAACTAGATTATAAAATTCAGCTAGTATTATTATTAAATTTTAAGCTAAAATATTATCTTTCTTGTGAAGGGAATATTTCAAAATGTATGCTATTACATTTTAAGAATAAAATCTTATTTACCAAGTCTGGTGATAAACGCATTTTTTTTCCAAAATAAGATTATCAGCATTAAAAAACAATCATTTGCTTGGCACTGAAGTTGTCAAAATTGAAAGATACTTTCTTGTTAATTTAGTTAGAGTAGAAAAACTACCCTTATTTTTTAACCACCATTCAATAGGATCATCTTTAACTCTAATATCTTTAAGTTTCACATAACACAATATTTTATTATCTTCTTCTTCTGAATTTGTTTGTGTAGAATTACCTTCTAAATCTCAAAATAAATTATCATTATCATCTTCTTCATGACCCCTATTTTTAATATCATCTGTAATATTAAGAGTATTCTTTAATTTATCATATAAATCCTTAACTAATTAATATGCCTTATTTCGTTCATCATTACTTGACCAATTAAAATGTTTGAACCTTGGATTAAGAAATGTAGCAATTAAGGTGATATCTGTTGGAACTGCACACAATTCTTCTATTGATAGGTAAATTGTAACCCGAATCCTTTTAATCAAACTGGTAGTATCTATTTATAGCAAATACTTCACTAGATTAGTATTTTCAGTATTTACAGATCATATACAATCCTTATTTTAACTATGATCATGACTACGATGACTATGAGTACTCATCCTTTGAATAAATGGGTTATACGTGTATTGCCATTGTTAATGAGTACCAGCAGCAGGTATATCATCTTTAATTATTTCACAATCATCATTTTTCTCATTCTCTTCACCATATATAATATTTAGATAAGTATCAACTGTTTCATTTTTACTTGATTTTGGAGTAAATCTTTTTTTAAGTAATTCTATATATAGATGAACAAGATTAAGAATCAGATATTTTGCATCACATAAACGTCGAATTACAATTTTAATTGGTTCTAATAAGGTTATCACTTTTTGTAAAATCTAAGTAAATTAAAAATTAAAAAAATTTAAAAAAAATAATATAATTAATAATAATAATAAATAAATTAAATTAAATAAATAAATAAATTCTATTTTAAAAGTAAATGCTATAAAAATTATAAATTATTATTATATAACCATAAAATAAATTGTAATAAAATAATTACTCTTTTTCATTAATTGATAAGCATAATCTTTCTAATTTTTTTCCTTCTTTTTGGAAAATACGATATGGTTTAGAAAGTTAGGAAGTAGAAATAAATCTTATTGAATTATGTAATTCTAAAATATGTTTCTAAGCCAAATAAATAGAATTTCACTTTGTTTTAACATCTGTTAAAATATCAAGAGGACTTTCATAATATTATCTTCATTTTGATTAAATCTAAACTGTGTTTTACGTAACCTTTGTGATTTTTTAGGAAGTCAAAAGAAAGCTTGCAAGCTTTTAACGTGATAATGTATAATTTACATTATTTTAATCCTTCTTGAACTGATAATTGCAATGTATGTGCTGCATAAGATTAGCATTCTATATTATTAATATAATTTTCATTTAATAATCAGATACTCTTTATCATATTAGCTTTATTATCAGTAGCTACAGAAAAAACTTTTGCCTTAAGATTCCATTTACAAATTATTTAAATAATTCTTCACTAATTATTTTACTACTATGCGAATATGCAAAGTGATCACATAAAAGTAATGCTTCTCGAAACTTAAGATCAGATAATAGCTATGTTGCTGTAATACCTAAATATTCATGTCGAGATTTTGCTGTCCATAAATCTGTAGTTAAATAAATAGTTGTTACACTACTATGAAGAAGGGAACTAAGTTGATCATAACTCCAATTATATGCTTTGTGAATTAGTCCTTTAGCAATTTTGTCATATGGAATACAAAAATCAGGTTAATAAACTTGTGAAAAAATCGATTTTGTAAAATATAAAGAGGTAAAACAAACTGAATAATAAATTGTATTAATTTTCTTGATAATAATTCTTGTTTTTAAGGTGAATATGATGATATTGTATTATTGTAATAATCTGTAACTTGGGTTTGATTATATTTGGACTAATAAGTAAAGTTCAATTATTAATTATGTTTTACAAATAAAATTTTTAGTTTAATAAATTATACCTCTTTATAAATATTCAAATATTGAGAAAAATTACTTTTAGTTATATTGTGCTTGTCTCGTAAATAAACTATCATATTTGATGTATTTTCATCTTTGCGAGTATATGAATAAGGTTTTGATGAGTTTCAGAAATATTATGTTCACATATTTTACAATATGCAATTTCAGAGTTATTTTCATCTATACAAAAAAATATGAGTTGTGGCTTTTATTAGTATGTCATCATTTAATTCAAAAAGGTTTTAGCAACCTACAAAGAGATGTAAGTAAATATATTAAAAAATTTTTTTTTAAACAAAAATATAGATTACTTACCTCTGATTCTTTCCATTCAAATTCCATCCAGGAGTTATTATCACTGTATGATGTTAATAATCCATCATAAGTTATTATGATCAATTTTAACATTAGATTTTCATTTTTTTCGACTTATAGTTGGTTATGTAGAATGTGTGATATTAGAATTTTTATCTTCATCAGTTTATAAAGAATAAATCATAAATGCCGAAAAAGAAGACATTTTTTTTTGATTTTCGAAAATAAATAAACATTATTATAAATGTAATTTTGTACTTTGTATTACAAATTGTTACTTTTGATTCAAATAAAATAATTAAAAAACTCTGAATATTTAGAACTTTTTTTTTATTTTTTTCTATGAAATCTATTATAAAAAATATTCATAATGCTATATAAAATGGTTACATTTTCTTTTTTTAAAAAAAAAATAAAAACTGAAAAAAAAATAAAAAAAGGTTTATTTAATAACAATATAATAGGATCAGTAATAATGCAATGCATAATCGCAGCCACTAATTCATTCATGTTATTCCATAAATTCAGCATTCAAAACAAATTTGAAGTTTTCTAATCAACTGAATAAACTGGTTATAATAAAACTGGTTAATTGTTTTGTAAAAAATTTGGACAGGTTATAAATTTGAATCAGATTAATTTGATTATAAATCTGATTATGAATACAGTTCTAATCTCTACTTTAAACCTTTCAAGAGCTTTATCAAATCCAAAATAATATCCAAGTTGTATAAGATTAACAGAGCAAACATATTGAAATAATTTTTGCAAATTTTTATTATTATTAATATAAGATAAAAAGTGTGTTATAGATCTTGCATAATTATTATAATTATTTTTATCAGCAATAGAAAAAAGTGGAGAAAAAGCAGCTAAATTTTTAAATTACATATTATAATTTTCTCTTCGTATTCTAATATTATGTTCAAGCCAATATCCTGCCTAACAAAAATAACAATACCATACTTTTAATATATTATTATTTTCACTTTCAATATCTTTCATTATTTTGTTTTTACTATTTAAATATTTACATATCATTGGTCAAAATCAAAAAAATCAGTCATATGATAAATCATCTATCAATCATCTGTCAATCAGACATAATCATCAATCAGCTAAAAATCAACCTAAATCATCCTGTCTAATTTATGGTTGATTTGAGTTAAGCCAAAATTTCAATTCTAATTGGTCTAATCAGATAATGCAAAAATCATCTGATTAGAAACTTTGTCTCAAAGGAGATGATACAAATCATTTCTAATAAATGATAAAGATAATCGTTCCTTTTGGGATAATACATTATCGTTCAAGAAGACCAATTTAAAAAAATCATCCCAAAGGGACGATAGATCATTATCCTTATTGAACAATCAAAAAAATCATCCCAAAGGAACGATACATCATCGTTCTTATTGAACAATCAAAAAAATTATTCCAAAGGGATGATGAATCATCATTCTTATCGAACGATTTAAAAAATCATCCCAAAAGAATGAAAGATCATCATTCAATAAGAATGATCAAAAAAATCATCCCAAAGGAACAATAGATCGATTGTTTAATAAGAATAATCAAAAAAAATTATCCCAAAAGGATAATAGATCATTGTTCAATAAGAATGATCAAAAAAATCATCCCAAAAGAACAATGAATCATCATTCTTATTGAACAATTTAAAAAATCGTCCCAAAGAGAGTATAGATCGATTATTCATTAAGAACGATTTAAAAATCGTTCCAAAGAGACGATACATTATCGTTCATTAAGAACGATTAAAAAATCATTCTATAAGAACAATAAAAAATCGTTCTTTTTGGAACAATGATCATTTGATTAGAATGATCAAATTATCGTCCCTTCAGAATGATATAAATTCGTTCGATTGGAATGATCAAATTATCGTTTCTTTAGAACGATACACTATCATTTGGGAGCTTTGCAATAGAAAGGGAGGAAACTCTAAAAAAATTTTTTTTTGAGTTAATGTTAAATCTGGACTTATTTTACAAAAAAAATCATAATTAGCTTAGAAAGTAAAATTTTAATTTTTTTTAGAGTTTCCTCCCTTTCTATTGCAAAGCTCCCATTTGATAAGAATGATGAAAAGAATTATTAAAATTGGACAATACAAAACCATCCAATTGGCTAATGAATATTGGATTAATTGACATTTTCTATTACATTATAAAATCAATAAACTTTCAGATTTATCCAAAAAATTTTTTTCCTTTTTTATCTTTTTCCTTTCTTTTTTCTGTATTTTTTAGAAATATTCTTATCTTAGAAGATTTTTATCATTTTTTTTCTGTTTTTTTAGGAAAATTCTCATTTTAGAAATAAGGTAAGTCATTCAGAGGTGATTTTTGGGATGGAAATTTACCATTTTTCTTTTATTTTCTTGTTTTTTTAGAAAAATTCTTATTTTGGAAATGGAAGTGAGTTTTTGGATGGATTTTTTTTTCTTTTCTAGTTTTTTTAGGAAAATATTCATTTTGGAAATAAGGTAAGTAAATCAAAGGCAACTTTCTGATAGTTTTAACTCTTTTTTCTTTATATTTTTGAAAGAAATTATTTTTTCAAAACTAATGTAAGCCTTTTGGAGATAACTTTAGGATGGTTTTTACCTCTTTTTTTCTTTGATTTTCTTTGTTTTTTTAGGGAAGTTATCTTTTCGTAATTAAGGTAAGCCTTTCTAAGGTAACGAGTAAGGCAAAAATGGAATTTTTGGGACAAAAATCCAAAAGATCTAAAATATATCTAGAAAGGTTTTCTGACCGCCTACGAATCAATTCTAGCTATACAAATCCATTATCGAATACAAAGCTCTAGTGTAATTTGACTCAAATATAGATAATGATATCGAACTTGGCTAAGAATTAGCCTGTCTGATACCATGGAGTATACTGTTTGATATAACTTTTCTAGCCTGATTTTAATCTCAAATAATATATCAAAAAATTTTTACTATTCTATTTGCCTTTGGAGGGTCCAGCAAAAATCAAGGAACAAAGTGACGCGATTTGAGCTGGGCCTGACATTGCAAACCCAAATTTAATAATAACTTTTATGCTATTCTGCTTGCCTCTGGAGGGCTTAGCAAAAATCAAGGAACAAAGTGATGCGATTAAGCTAGGCCTGACCATGCAAGCCTAAAATGCATACCATATTTCATGATATCATAAAATTAATTCTAAAGTTAATTAATTATCAGCAAGCAATACAAAAAATTTACACCTATGCCTTGCATAGG